ACAGAGAAATATGCCATGGATATCCTTGAAGATACAGGCCTATTGAACACAAAACCTGCTGACACTCCTATGCATCCAAATGTCTAGCTCCTACCAAATTAGAGGAAACCTCTATTAGATCCAAAAAAATATAGGAGATCAGTCAAGAAGTTAAACTAACTCATATTAACGTGTCCAAGTATCTATTTTGCAATCAGTATGATTAGTCAGTTTTTAAATGCATCTTGTAAGGATCATTGACATGCGATAATTCATATTCTAAAGTACATTAAAAGAACTCCTAGTAATGACCTCATTTATAACAATAAAAATCACACTCAGATTGTTGAATATTCAGATACTAATTGAACAAGTTTTTCTATTGATAGAAGATCAAGCTCTAGATGTTATGTATTCATTAGGAGTAGTTTGATATATTGGAAGAGTAAACAATAAAATGAAATTGTAAGATCAAATGCCAAAATAGAATATCACACCATAGTTTCAAACACTTGCGAACTCATTTAGTTGAAACACCTTTTTTAAGAACCTCAACTTAGGGAGACTATGCCAATGACACTTGTGAACTCATATTACTTCCAATCCGATATTCCATGAGAAGACCAAACACATTGAGATAAATTGTCATGTTATTAGAGAAAAAATTTAATCAAGAATTATTACTTATTTTGTTAATTCAAATGATCAACTAGTAAATATTCTTACTAAGTCCTTGAAATATTATAAAATAAGTTACTTATGTAACAAAATTGATACATATGATCTCTAAACTCAACTTAAGGGAGAATATTAATTATGAAAGTCAATATTGAGTTTCCCATTTAGAAAGGCTAATTAGATTAATTAGATATTCTTTCTTTTATGAATTATTTCATTATTAGTACAAGAACTTCGTATATATGTGTGTATCCTGTATTATTGAAACAATATAAAGAAAAATTATTTTATTCTTTACAGTTAATATTTAAAATTTTTTTAGCTAAATCAAAACTAAAACCAGAACCAAAACCGCAGAGGCTCAAAACCAAAAATTGGCCCAAAACTAACAAGGCTCAGAACTGGTGGTTCAGTTCTAGTCCAAGCCGGGTCATGAACTATGAACAAGCCTAATGAGAAGCCGTGCATAATTGGTGAAGCTTTCTTTCATCTTACATTATTAGCTCAAGTGTGTTTATAGACCATGCATGCATCTGTAAGTTTGTGGAGAGAAACAAAATATGTACAAATACCAAGTGTACCATCCCCAAATTATCTCCTTCAACAAGCTGACGACTGGATAATTTTCCATCATCCTCGTATTTTGCCACTGTAATTATCTATTAAAGCCAAACAAATTTATCTATCAGGCTTTGCTAATCCTGCACAAACACAAAACGAGGCATGTAAAGTGCTCTTTATAAACTAGTCATGGCTATACAAAATAGAGAATAATCTTTTACCGGAAGTCTAAATAGGAAAGCATGCTCTGGATGAGTAGGATGTAAGTGGAAATATTTCATTTTGAAAAATATGTAAATTTTGACAAGTGCCAAATTTTGAAAGTAATAAACAGTTTATTGCCTATACATTTTTTAGTTTGCAATACTTTTGAATAAACAAAAAGCGTAACTGAACTCATGAGCTTGAAACCGAGTTCAACTTCAATTTCATGAGCACTGAACTCATTTAAATCCAAAGCCCACATCAACCCTGAGCACCATAACAATTTCATAACTCAAACTTTCTTAAGGTCAATTTGTTTGAAAAAACAAAGTTTCTAACCTAAACATATTTATAAAGAAAGTTATTTGTTCAAAGTTGCAAATTAAATAAAATTCTAAATGTATGTAAGTTTATATTATTTCATTATCAAATTTAAAAATTATAGTATCCATCGTGTCCACAAGACTTTATACATATTTGTACATTAATTTCCACACAAAACGAATCACGAGTGCTAAACAAACTTATTTACGAGATTCACTCAATAGTCTACATACAAACTAGATTGTGAGCTTAGAACAGAAGCATCACGGAGCTAAAAGGGACAAACTTATCCCAGCTCAAGTTTGACTCAGTTAAATAAGCCAATCTCAAGCCACATTTTCCTTCTCATTAATTTCAACAAATGAACTCCAAACAAGTTCTAGTTGAGCTCAATTCTGAGCTACTGATGAGAAACTTGGCTCCTTTGCAGCCCTATGTTGGATTATTCCGTGGTCAGATAATTCAGAAAATGTTAACAAAAGGTAAGTCAAATGATAGAAAAGAAAATTCATCAGGTATTTGAAGTTTTACCTCTTCCTTCTTCACAAGTGAAATCGATTAACTTAGGACTTTGCAGCTTGAAGCATTTCGACTATGAGAGTCTTCACATCTCTGCAATCCCAGAAGGAAATAATCAGGCCCCAGCAACTTGAAACACCATAAGCAAATCAAATCCAGTAGCAGCAGTTGATCTTTCATATAAAATTTAATTACTCCACCAAATTGGTTATTCCTAAAAAGTTATATTACATAGGGATGGATAAACACAAGAACAATACAATACTAACAAATCCAAGCTATGCCACAGCTGAGTAGCAGTTATCTCAGAAAGCTGAAGTCTCTCTCTTTTTATTCATTTAGGGAGGTGTCACTGCCACAGAACAAAATGTTGGTTCCAATAACTTAAAACTTCCACTGGATGGACAAATTTTCCCCCCAGGAGAATCACGCTGGTGGCCTAATTCCCAGTAATGCAAATAGAGACTCCTGCATCTGAGGATCCTTCGCAAATGACCCTCTCCTGAGCAAAGCCACCACATCATCCTCTCAGCTGCCATTGCCATCACCATCCTGATCTTCATTGCATGATCTGAACCCCTAACACTTCTGTTGTACTCCTGATCTTAGACCAATACAGCTGCTGTCACCAACAATCACCCCCTCGCGACCTCTCTAATTCCCCCAAATCTAACTTCAGAGGTATCTTTTATCATATCTCACCTCTAGCCCAGAATCACGACCAGGTTTCACATCAGTTGATTTGCAGGATTTTGTACTGGTAAAGTTTTGGGATTTAGCAAAGTAGTGCTGGAAAGCAATGCTCGAGCACTGCTCTGTTCAACCTAGAAGTGAAGAGAAAATTGGTATGAATTGAGCAGACTCTTCCAAAGCTGCAAAGTATCTTCTGACTGGTTTCCAAGTGTTGCACTTCAATGCTGGAATTTCTGCACATTCTTTAGTGGGGAAGACTTTTGATTCATCTGATTTCCAAGAATGGCAGCACAAGATGCTGTCTTAGCTATCTTTTTGTTTTTGCTTATGGAATTTCTAATTTGAATTAATGAATTTATTCCCCATCAAGAAAAAGAATTATTGTTCATGTACACTTATTTGGGGTTGAAGGTCATATATGATGAAAATCTACAGAAATCCTAGCATGATTGATGTTCAACGTTCATTTTATGTATTTATTTATTTTACTTTCAACAGCCTGTCAACTGCTGACATGGAAAGGAGGAAGAAGGTAGAAGTAATAAGTGTGGAAGTCATGGCCGTAAGGGCGATTTTGTCCATTGAATATAATTTTTTTTAAAATTGCGGAACCATACTTCTATCTTGTGGCCAGTAAACAACAATTTTTTTAAAATGCAAAGAATTAACTTACAAAAATTTTACAGTTAGTTCCTTTAATGTAAAAGTTCTGAACTACAAAAGGGTGGAAAATAATTCCTGGAAGTTATAAAAAAGAAGTAAGAAAAGTTGTTACATAAATGCAGCTTAAATGATTCATTAAGCAGCTTTTCTTATGGTATCAGATAAATCAGAACATCAGAATGTTAAGAATCCATTACTAACCTTTCAATTCAAATGACATGATGGTCATTTAAGAAATTGCTTATTGGTATATACACCAACATATAAACACAAATAAAAACATGCAATAAGTTGATAACTACCAGTTGTGAATCAGAAAACCCATAAGGACGTTTCATGCAAATAATGATATAACATGGTCAAACACTGAACTAAGCCTTTCAATAGATGAGGCACAATTAGCAATATCACAAAAATATGTGGTTGCCACCGGTAAAAGGCTGTAGAAGAGCATCCACCGTATTGAACAAAAAAAATCCATCTGGCATTTGTTTTAATAAATAGAGATCTCACAATGACTACAACAAATACATTTGTTACATTGAGGTTTAAAAAATCATTTAAAAAATTAAAAGAAATGACTTACTTTCTGTCCATTGCACGTCTAGGAAACGGAACTCGTAGCTTGAAGTTATCCCCTTGGTAGCCAGCCTAATAATATAAGAGGATATTGCAAGTACAAATAAGCGTTAAAATGCAACCTAAATAATAAAAGAATAGAAGAGAAAAAGAAAGGAGAAGATGAAAGAAAAGAATATAAATCAACACCACTTAGCATAAGAAAATCTTCTCTCTTAAGCTTCATTCCTGGTATTCCAGGCATACCAGGAATACATTTCATAACAATAAGCTGTAAAGACCTGCAAATATTAGAACTGGAAATAATAGACAGCGGATATTACAGAATTACCTTCACATTGAAACCAAGACTGTCCAAATCCAGCATATATGCAAAGTCAACCTAGACATTTCAAGTTTACAGATGTTGTGTCAACCATCACTTGCATAAAATTTAATGAAGATAGAGAATCTGGCTCGTAGATACAAGTATAATATCATAAACTGGTGGAAAAAATTTGGTCATCTTAATCAGCAATAGTTAAATTTCTGGTTTAAAGAAAGTGCAAAAGTGTAAAAAATAAGGAAACCAAGATATCATCCTATTCCCATGCACATTCTGCATCAATATCATCCCATCACAGGATCTGATTTCATGTTTGTATCAATGCAGGAAGCATAAACAGAAGCAAATTTATGGAAATAACATATTCCTGCTCTAGTGAGTTAAAAGATGGGAGGATAATCTCCTGTGGCAGCTCAATACTCGTGGTAATCGCTATGGTTCACAATTTTCCAATCACTGTGAACCATTAGGACTGTTACAATTGCAACATATTGAATGAGATGTTTAAGGGAGTATTCCTGATTACCGGAATTGATGTTGAATGTTGCACAATGAGTTTTGTATCCTCCACATGATCTTTATTCATGTGCAACTGCCAACATTGATGTTAAACACTAAACAAAAATGATACGAGCTAGATAATATAAAGAAAAGAGACGTGTTGAAAACTGAGAAAACATATTAGGTTATTTACCACAATAGGCTTGGAAAACTGGTATATGGGATCCATCTTTGCAGCTCTATAATCCTCCTTACTAAACTCTGAATTAAAAAAATATGAAAGGAAAATAATAGAAAAGCTGAAAGAAGATTGGTCCAAAGAACTTAGAAGAGATAAACAACTTTTAGAACTCAGAACAAAATAATGCGCCATAAATTTTTTAATCAAAATGGCAGAGAAGTTCCCATACTAATCAGCAGCATAGCATCAATTCTATTCATCTTTGCACTATTTTACATTTATGCCAAGGTAGTTACCCAACAGATCCTCTTTTAGTAATACAAGTTTCTCAGTCATTTGCATACCTCCTGAACCCAGTGTAGCGGTAGCAACCCCAGACACATATCGTACAACTTGGGGTTCAATCCGCACAAATTGAAAGTCACCAAAATCAACCTTCATATAACAAAAGTTTGTCTTTTTAGTTCATTGAATAGGTAAAACTGAAGATTGAGCAATGCATGCAAATGAGTGAACCAAATTTACCCAGAACGCACTCGGATGCCTTGCTAAATATGCAGTACGGATAGCTTCTCTATCTTTCTCAGAGACCTGGATAGTACTAGTACATGAAGTTAGATGGGAAGAAATCCATCGAGAATACACCAACAGAAGCACTGATTAAGAATATTATGAACTATCAGCCAGAAGTTATAACTTACACTAACAACATCTCCATGAAAGGTAACAACCAAATCAGTCCTATCCTCAGGATCTTTTGCTACAAGCAATGAGCATTTTGGATTGGCTAATAGGTCCTGAAAAGGCAAAGTTATTAACTAGCAAGGAGATGTCCTAAACCAGAAATAAATAAGTAAACTACTATATGTAGGAACAATGATTTAGCAAACATTGATAGCAAAGTTTTTAAAAATCCTAATAGAACAGGACATAAAGTATAACCTTACAGCTATGAGCTATGCTATAAATTTTGATTACACAGCCTATCATTAACATATAGAAGATGGCTCAAACTAATTTTTCTACCAAGCACTATCAGGAAAAAGTAACCTTAATTATCAAAATTTAAAAACTTCTGTTCCAAGAGCACTCAAAATATTCTTTATGGTTAGTTAGTGATCATTAGCAGAGTTAAATATAGGATCTGCAAGCAGGAATAGATTTTCAATCTGGCTAAATTTGCATACCAACAAGAAAGACATTTCAGTCATGCAAATCAAATTTTATCTTTACACCATTATGATTAATAGATAAGGTGTTTAACAGAGCAAAATTCAAAATCATGGCCAACCTTTGTATGAACTGCCAAGTTGCTGATTGCTAATATTGGAGACCCACAAACATCACACGCAAAGTCAACCATCGATCCAGATGATAACCCTCATACTTCTGCACAATAATAGTAGCAATAAGCTTCAACCATTGAACAGAAGGATAACCCTCATACTTATGCACATTAAGTCCTTGTTTATTCACAAAGGCTTGAACACATATAGGGTGAGGAAAGGGAATTGGCAGAACCCCCAGATTATGGAAAGCTCCATTATGATACAAATGCGGGGAAATGCACCTTATTAATATTCTGGGAGCCAAGTCACCAACAACTTGTCCTTAGAAAAGGTGCTATGCTAAAGAAGCATGGACAATTCATTTCGTGTGAAGTATTTGCAAAATCCCAAATATATGTCAAACAAGAAACATGAAGTATCCAACCTTTTATTTCATTTTATAATTATAGACACACATTTCCTAGTACTATTTTACAAACATGCATTTCTAACAAATGGCCACATGTCTTTATATAAAATAATTACCTAACATTTAGTACATTGCAGCAATAATACAAAGCTAGAAACATATTACACATATCCTTCACAATAAAAGAATGAAATAATTGTATTAAATCTATAGTGGTTTTAAGTTCACATTGATTGGAGTTTGATTATTTGGCATTTATATTATTTTTTTTGTCATTTTATAAATATCCTGGATATAAATATAATTGATATAAATATAACAAAGATTCATCCCTTTTGACTGTATCCCTGCAGGTCCATGTCTCTGCTATCCATGCTTCCTAGGTACTATGACTGGCTAAATAATTCACAAGAAAAATGATAAATAAAAGGAGAAGGTAACTGAAAGGGGAAAAAAAGTCGTGGTAAGATCACATAAGTTAAAAATGAACAAGCATAAAGAATTCATTATTATTCAGTACAAGCAGGTCCCTGTTAGTACACCATGAGGAAATTAATCAGTTCTGTTCAGTCTCTCAACAGGAACCAAACTACACAGAAAAAAAATTTCCATTTCAATAGTTTGATAAACAACCACATCATTGTAATTGTTTCTAAATTTCTAAAGATTTAAAATTAAATATAAGCAAACTTATTATGTTTTTTGTAGAAATAATTAAGTTGTCACAACTTAAAAGTTTGAAATCAGTGGTTAGACAATTAAGAAATAACTGGCATTGCAAAAAAGGAAAACACTGAGGTATAGTTCTGTGAGAACGATTAATTCAATACTCTGTATATAATATAGTAATCATATCCATAATTAAGTAAAAATGGGTTGGTACACTCCAACTAATATGTCTTAAGTTTTTTTCACCTACAATTTCTTTAATTAGAGGAAGTGCATCACAAGCTAAATGCTTTATTATTGGATAATGCCAAACTTTCATCAACAACCTACACAATATTCTACATATCCATGAATCAGCAAGTCTTAAACTAAAAGGTATATCAGAATTCAGATCAAGTCTTAATGGTACTGTAACACCTCATCCGGAAATATATTACTCTGTGACTAATTCAAGGTGGCCTTATGTTTTCAGGATGCAAAGTGATGCAATTAAAACATTAAGGGCACAACAAGGATATAACTTGTGCCTAGGGCTATTTGGTCAGAAGGAAGGAAGTGGAGGGGCAAGAGAGTAATTTTAACTCTCTTAACCTTTAAGTTAAACATCCAACCCAAGGATTTCATTTGCTTCTGCTATTCTGTCCATGCAACACAGAGAGTTAGAGAGAGAGTGTGCTGACTGGTTTGAGAAGCATCAGGGGCACAGATTGGCTGTGAGATTGAGAAACTACTCTTCATCTTTTTCCCTTAATTTTCCCTCTCGATCTTCTCTTCTTTATTTCCTCTGTTTTTCTGTTATTGGAAGGGCCACATAGAAGAGTTACTCACTGAACCCCAGCTGGACAGAACCAAAGAACTACTCAAGCTCCAGCCAGTGTTGTATTATCCCAGTTGTTGGGCTGGGAAAACACTAAGTTTTTTTCTCTCTTCCTTACCCAGTTCTTCTCTGGTGAGGGAAGCTCAGCTTTGGGTGTTTTGGGCTAGATTCAGTACCAGACCATACAGCCAGCCAACACAGCTGTAGCTCTTGGTCAAGTCTTCGAGAGAGAGAAAACTCTGACTGTCCAGCAACCTAGCTGAGTTGATAACTTTCTGTTTTGAGGCCCATGAGGTAAGATCTGGTTCCTTTGAGCTTTAGCTAGGCTTTCTATGGAAGACGCACTGTACAGCCGAGACCAGCCTTTGTTCCGCGAGTATAACCATGCACGTAATTGTTGGACCATGCACCTGGTGATCCTGTTTTCCTTAGACAGTCAGACTCCTCGTTTCCCTAAGTTCCATACCGTGTGTCCAGGTTGGGTAGAAAAGCCGATGGCCATCTTAATAGCTGTATTCTCTTGTCTCAACTATCTCACTTCACAGTGTGATGGGTTGGGCAGGAACAAATGAGTGAGTTGGTCAATTCCTTGACCATGCAAGACACTCTTACTGGAAATCTAATGATGTTTCCCGTGAGTGAACTGTGGGATGAAATAGAATGCCTATATAAACTATAGGAGTACTGTTGTAATGGAGACTTGGGTCACTTCTTGGCTGTGTGGGAAAATGACTATTGGGTGTGGTATATCCCCACTCTGAGCATGAGTTAACCTTACATGAGGTCTTGCATGGGAGTCCCAGGGTTACCTTGGGTAACTGCTTGAGATAACTCACTGTTGTTTACTGTATACCCCACGAGTATAATATGAGATGTATTTCTATTTAAAACCTGTACAACCAACAAGATAACTTGGGTATGAATCTATTTGGTGGTGATATAACCCATAGGGATGGTTCCAGGTACAACTCTGTTCTGTTGTAGTGCAACCTGCGTGATGGGGCTTAAGATAATCTCTCTTCAGTAATACTGGTTTAGCCTTAGAATTACTCTGGATGCTCATACGGTATAACTACTGTTAGCTCAAGGTATAACCCTACTGGACTTACCCCAAACAGCCCACTTTACACATTGATTCCTCCATTCATATGTAGAACTGATATCCCTGTTAGTATGGCCTAAGGCCAAAACACGGAAACTCTGTTGGGGATTCTGATATATGTTATGAATATATAGGTGCCTTGGAAACCTCACATCCCAATGTTGAGGACCATACTGTGGCATAATCTCTGATTACCCAAGTGTATTGTGAGTGATAAACCTATTCTTACCATGCATTTTCTTAAAGTTACCAGACAAAGCAAATGTATAATATGTACACGTGAAGCTATGATTTTAAAAGTTATACTATGTTTCAAATGAACTGTCTGTGATGTACTGTTTAACTGATCTGTTGATGTACTGAACTGAAAAATTGGGACAAGTGTTCCAAATATATGTTTTTGTATCAGATATGAAGTGAGCTTTACGTCTGAACTGTATTACTGATTATAAACCCCTGATCATATGATTTAAGTAGTATTGCTCACTTTTGAAAAGAAAATTTGAATGTATACAACTGGTCTGAACACTGTAGTGAATGATAGTGTAATGGGAGATATCCTATTATTGACCCTACCTAGCAAGGGAGATGCTAGGCTCGGTGCACCTCGATTGGGAACCTAGCTAGTAGGGGCGTTGCTAGCCTATCGTGTTTGGCCCACACGAGCGGATGGGATCTGACTATTTGGAACCTGGGGAGGCAGAGGGGGAACTGAACTGATATTGTTACTGTGCTGAACACTGAACTTATACTGTTACCGTAATGTTCACTAAATACTAATGCTGTGACTGTGCTGAATGCTGATTACTAACTGATATTGTTACTGTGATACTCCCACACTATCCACGATACTATAATATTTCTGAGATTATTGTTATGAGCAACTGAATTACTGTTTCTGATTCAAAATGATTATAATGTTTTCGGAGCTTTTGTTTTCTGAACTGATAAGATACATGATGGATTTCTGAAATGTTATACTCCACTGATTCTAAAACTATAAAGGATTTCTGAAAGTATTTTTTTCATGATGCTTGTCCCAATATGTCTAGAATATGTATTATTACTCAATGAGTTATCAAACACACTCTTCTCTTAACATTTTCAGATCCTAGTACAGATATTCCTTCTAGGCCCAGCTGACTGAATTGCAGAGGAGTAGTTCCTTGGAGAGCCCAATAGGATGTATGCATTACTATGGTAGCATTTTGAGATATTCTGTTATTCAGACTCACTGTATATTTTCTGAACTATGTTCTAGAATTTGCTCCATTTATCCTTAGACAGACCCTTCTATATTAGAAACATGTGAATGTGAACTTGACTGTTGTAGTAGCTCTGGCATGAAAGTACGTTATATGATGCCTTTTGCTGATGTTGAATGAGAGTAATGATATTAGCAGGTTTATAGATTTGACATATGTTATATTTACCGGGAAGATTGCTGAAATTTTTAGGGAGTCCCATACTAGGTTATTTCTTTAACCGTTCTAAGGATTACTAGGGATGACAACCCAACCCTAATGCCGTTATGAGCCCCGGGTTTGGGTTGTGACATATATTGGATGACCTCACTCCTAAATAAATGAAATCATGAATTTGAGAACTGATATTCAGTGCATCGGTTTATGCTCATGTTAGAAGTAATGACACGGTTAAACAAACCAATAAAAAGTCACCATTTCATATACTTGACAATGCATGCTAGGTGACTGATACAACATCTATGCATGCCATTAATATAGGAAGTGGTTGCACATCCCATAAAACATCTGAATTTTTTTTACACATATCAAAGTAAATTAATATGTTGTTCCATGTCTCCATCTTGGCATGCTATAGAAGTAGTATATTTTCTCCCCATAGTTACAGTTTAACAAAGCCCAACCCAAGGTATTCTCGGCAAATGTTTAGTACTTGGCTAAGCCTCGCCCACTTCTCCCCCTTCCCCAGACACATATGACTACAGCTATGACTCTCACATTTCATCCAAGCAGCATGGACGGAAGCAAAAGAGGGGCAAAGGGATGCCACAAGGAAGAATGGGAACGCCATTTAACTTAGTAATTAGTAAAAC